TCTATGTTTCATTAAATGAAAAGAAACATTGACTCCTGAACGCAGAAATATGTAAAAACCAGCAATTGCAGATGTAAGGTTTTACCACAGATCCCTGGCTGTATTTCATTAAAAAAAAAAGAAAAAAATGTTAAATTCAGAGTTAGCCTGACATTTCCCAGTCAACACAACTTAGGTCTTTGCCTACAGCCCAGACCCATTAGTTTTCAGATTAATCTGATTATTGTGAGTTGTAGATTTTAAAGAGTCTGCTTTGAACAAAAAAAAATGTTTAACATTAAGTAAGAAACTAGTTCAGGTTTCATTATTAGACATGTTTATATTTATAACCCCCCTTTCTCTGAGTCCAGTGGTAGCGGAGGACACCAGGGAAGGTGTGTCTCTAATGTGGAACCATGAATGACTAGTGCATCAGACACCAGAATCTCTACTTAGACATAACTTGTATAAAAGTTAAGGAGAATGCAGCCTGAATTAGACAACATTTGGGTCCAGAACAACAGCCTGGACCCTTCTAGTGCAGGTTTTTATTCCATCCTAAATGACTAATTTTATATGCCTCATCTATTATCTGTACCTGATCCTGCAAGCTCACACTATGAATAGCCTTACTAAAATCTGTGGGAGTATATGTGTGAGAGTTTGTAGAATCAGTTGTGATATGTACCACAACTCCTAGACATGTTGGTGAAAGCAAAGTGAACATGGAATGAGAAACTGCGGCTTTCTTTCATCTGATCAGACTCTTTAGCTAAGTTTTATAAAGTGTGTGTGTGTGCATGCAATACTTCCTTCCTGTCTCAGTCATTAACAATTCTGAAATTTTCAGCTCAGATTGTGCTCTTCTCCCCCATGAAGAGCAGTACATCTTGTATCATCTAAAAGTGTCATAAATGCAGTAAAGGAGCAACAGTAAAAATAACAGTCATTTATATCTATTTAATTGGACATGCTGTATCTGGCATGCTAAACAGCTTGATGTTGAGCAGTCACAAGCACAGATCTTATATAATCGTTTAGCAGTGCATGCATAGTAAAGTGTTCAGCTTAACGTGCTGTTCCAGGGCTTGTTTGGGGGTTGAAAATAAGGATTAAAGATAATACCACAGTGTAATTGTTACAGCACTTTAAAGATATTATAAAAAACCTAGTCAATACTAGGATATTTTCATGCATTATTCATATGCATAGATTTATGTCTTGATCCTGAAACTGAATTGTGGAGATGGACAGCCATACCTGCATAAAACTTCACTGAAATCAAGAGGCTCTGCACAGACATATTTAATAGGGCTGTGCAAAATTTCGCTGGCAGTTTCATTTCAATACTGTTTTGACTCATTTTGAGCTACAAAACCAAAATCGAAATGAAACAGAGAGCTTCAAAACAGCCTCGAAATGAAATGAGGCAAGTCAAAACATTTTGAAATTTTCAAAATGTTTCGAGTTTTGAAGCTTAAGCTGGGCTTGCCTGCAGGGAAACAGGAACTAAAGTAAGAAGAGGGAAGGGGAAGAGGAGAAGGGGTGGGGGAAGGACTGCTCTCATTATTGACTGTGTAGCTGGCCAGTGACTGTCAACCTTCCCTGAGGTCTCTTCCAATCCCAGTGCTCTGGGGGAGGGATGGAAAAACTGCATAAAAGGCAGCATTGTTTGAACTGCCCTGCTTTCTGCCTTGGTGTCAGTTACTGAGCTGTGTATTCCAGTTTTACCTGTCAGCAGCTAGAAGTGCAGGGTCCCAGAACCCAGACTCCCCCTACACCTATCTCCTTGATAGCTGGCAGGCTTCATGGCTGCAGCAGGGCCTAGAAGGTCTGTAGTTTTCACCCCGCTGTGCCCTAAGACAGACACAGTCCCACAAGCACCCATGTCATGAGTTTTGCCTGTCAGCAGCCAGAGGTGCAGGACCCAGAACCCAGAAGACCCTGCACCTATCTCCTTGACAGCTGGCAGCTTCAGGGCCTCATCAGGGGGTAGCATGCCTTTAGTTTTCAACCTGCTGCACCTTAACACACACACAGTATCACCTATGACATGAGTTTTGCTTGTCCACAGCTTGAGGTGCAGTTTCCCCAAACCCCCTGCATCTATTTCCTTGAAACATGGCAGGCTTCATGCCCTCAGAAGGGACTACCATTCCTGCAAGTTTCATCCAAATCAGGCCAGAAATGAAATGAAACGTTGTTCTGTTGAAATGTCTAAATGCAAGTTGAAATGGAATGGTGCTGTTTCGCACAGCCCTAATATTTAAACTGTTAATAAAGACAGCAGTGTCATCCTATGCTCAAGTTACTGGATGAATTTATGAGATCTAGGTTAATAGTCTTAGCTCTTATGCTGAGTTTCTTTTTGACTTTGACAAGCATCAGTCTTTTCAATGGTTTAATCTCCTAATGAGCAAAGCCCTACAACTCTTTGAATAAATCTTCATTTAGAATACATCATTAAAATAAAAGATATTATGGGCCTATTTCAAAAAATCTATGTAACCTTTGGAAAGAGACATTTGGTTTTTCAAGTTAAATGAAATGATTTTCCAAGAAAAATAATGTAAGTATGATGAGGGAGATTAAAAGTGATTTTATGTTTCTAAATGACTTCTTTATAAATTATTGTTCAGAATAGAAAACTTTCCATTTTCATTAGACTTCTGAAAGTTCTAAATTAGTGTTTTGATGGGTGGTCTGAAGAAAACATCACTTTCTCTATTCAGTAGGTTATAATGATTGTGATCCCAGAATCAATTAATTCACATCAGCAGACAATGCACTTTTTCTCTCTCTTTCTTTCTCTTTTTGCATAGCACTCTGCTGTAATATCAGTAATTTTGCAGCAATTAGTTGACAACACGTATACCATCCCATTTACCAGGCCATGAACTGCACTTTGCTATGCTTATATCAAGCTGTTAACTAATAACACATTTAAGTGCTTCTGGTAAAAAGCAATGTCTGTGGGATTTTTGTATAAATAGATGTGGTCTTCAAAAAGTACAGTAGTGTTGAATTAAAGGCTTCTTCTGGAGTGTTTCAGGTTTTTGTATGCTGTGACTTAATTCCTATCCCCCAGTGACCAGTGTGGTTCCATAATAAATTCTATATAAGTTTATACACTGACACCTCCATGGAGGGTACATTAATGCTGGAATGGGAAATTGACAAATAAATACAATAAAAATAAAAATCTAAGAAATAGAATGTGGAAAAGTCTGTTGTATACCAGGCAATTTCAACTTTCTCAGTGAAAGGGTTAAAGGAGACTCCCTGGCTAGGGACAGACATTCAAAAAGCCTGAGTCTGAATTGATTCAAGCTTTGCAAGTTAGTCTAACCTGGCTAGGCTTAAACCAGTTTGTAAATGCACAGATGTCCTCTATGGACTGAAGATATGTGGGTATATGCCTGCAGTGGTTCAGGCTAGAAGCCGAGGGCACTAGAGCAGCCCTCCCTTCCCTTTCACGTAACTGAACTGAGGGGGGCATGGCCAGGCCCCGGCAGGATGCTCTGGTTAGCAAGGGGTTCCCCACCTCGCTGCTCCTGATCAGCCCAGCAGGGAGTTGATAACAGAGCTTTTATCAGGCCATCAGAAAACAAAAGCCTCTCTCATTAGTTCAAGCTCTTCTTAAACAACTTTTTCCAAGGAAGGACCGGAGGGACATTACCAGCTGACCTGTTGATTCGCTCCAAAAAGTCCACTGTCCTGTCTGCCTTATACAGACACGTCTCAGCATTAGCTAGCATACCATATGTTAGCTACATTCTGTGCTGTGCAAGGGGGGAATCCCTGCTTGAGCAGGGAGTGGTGTGGGAGGACGTGGAGCAGGAGGAAGCAAGGCAGACGCTGCTGTGCCTGTCGTCTTTGCCAGATCTCCAGCCAGAACTCCAGCCCAGCTCTCTGGAGTAGAGAACTCCACCTAGGGCTGCAAAGCATCTGGGATACTGAGGGATTCTGGTTTAAGTTAAACCAGGAAGGGGTCTGGGACAGACATTGCATAAACAAGTTTGACCCAAATCAGTTAAGTCTGATATTACATTCAAGAGGTTTATCTCAGACCAGTTTCAGCCATTTTCCAACTGGTTTATGTGCACTGAATGTCTGTTCTGGTACAAGTTTAAATCAGTTTCTGATCATTTAAACCGGTTTATGTATAATATCTGTCCCTAACCCTTATGGCTAAGGAAGGATAATTGCACCCAAAAGCTAGCAAAGAACTTTTTTCCACATACTCAATTGATCTAATAACAGATATCACATCTACCCAAAGAACTTTGCCTGCCTAAGTCCATAGATCAACATGGCTACAACCAAAAATCCAGCAAGGTTAAAGAATTACATCTACCAGATAGCAAAAAATGTTGCCGTAATCCATAGTTGTCCTTAAAGCTCTTTGCACAGATCCAGTTCCAAAATTTGCAATCTATGTTCTTGTCCTGACTAGGGAAAAAGAGAATGTTCTACCTTGGCTTAGCTGACATACAGTAATACAAAGTGAAATTCCAGTGAAGACAAGGCAGTTTGTAGCTTTCACATATTAGCATATTAAAGGTAAGCACTAGGGTTCTGCATAGTCTTTGCCTCCATCTGCTAACACACGTGAAACTGATAAACTGCTTTGTTTTCACTGATCACTAGATTTAAATGCATGAATGTATAGTTTATATCCTAAAAATCTGACTTCTCATGAAAATGAAGCTTTTGATAGTTCCCATTACTCCTTCATCTGCATGCTGAAGGAGGGAATTGATTTGTGTTTAAATATGTTATTGTGACGTACCGGAACCAAAATAATCTTTTAGCTATGGTTTTGCATCCAGAGAAAGTCAGTAGGAGGTACAGGGATACAAGTAATGAAAAATGGATTCCACTTACATAATGTGGGACTGTGAGTTAAAGTGTAGTTACTATAATGGTTCACTTTGACGATTAGAATTTTGAAGTCTTTATTCTTCTTAATTTGTATTTCTAGTTCTACACTAATTTAATTTCTTGAATTATACTTTTAGATCACTATTGCTGCAAAGGAATAAACATCTATCCTTAAAGCCCACATCAGCATTGTATGTTAGTATATAATATACCAACATCAAGGCTAGATTCATCCTTCAAACTTTACTGGTGCCTTTCTGATTCTCGTGTTTTTGCTAATGGTATAAGACATTTGTATTTTAAATGACACTACAATGTATGGCTTGTTTTAATGTTGTCATCCTGAATGTGCTGATGGGTGGACTGAAACTGTAGATCACAATACTCAGTAAACATTGTTGTGAAATGCTGATTCTCAAAACTAAAGTGTTATCAAGAGAGTACAACTGCTTCACTTCCCATTCTCACCTTTGGCTAATATTTCTGTATCAATGGTCACTAAGTCCAGACTGTCCAGACAGTCCAGAATGCTCAATGATAAGAGGAACCTTGATTGCAAAGAAACATTCATTTCACATTACAGTATATCATTCTTTTGTTGGTGGCTGCAATGTTACACATCTGACCTGAGTTAGGCAAGCCTGGATATTTGCACATCCATTAGTTGCAGAATGTATGCTATTCAAGACTGTCCCTGTTCCAAGGAAAATTCAAATGGGGTATCCAGTGCTGAAGCAAGTTATCCTAAACACATTTCACTCATTTTAATTTAAAACTGTACATATTCAGTGTTCTTGGTTAACCACAGAAATATACCCCCTTATTTCAGCTAATAATGAGCCAGATCTTTTCTCAGCTATGTAACTCTTTTGGTATGGGACTAACACTCATCATTGGTGTCTTTATATGTTGCTGTGTTTGCATCCATTTTGATTTATAAGAAATCAAAGACTACAGTATTATGTCATATTATATCATGTGCTAAGATCAATTACATTGAAACTTTGTTTTCCCTATAAGCTCCAATTAATATCTAAAAGAGAAACCTAGCTTATTGAAATGGATAATGCACCAAGCTTATATAATACACCAAGCTTGGATAATACACCAAGCTTCCTTTTTTAAATTTCCAGTAACCCGGAACCGTAAGTTTCTAAATCATAGCAATACATATAGGAGATGCATAGATGAAAAGCATGAGAGGTTTGAACATTAGGAAACAAACTCTGTTCTTAATAATCACTTTGTATAACATTTCCAGTAAACCACTTTCAATTGATTTTATATATCTATAATGTCTTTAATGATTCTCAAACTGGTTTAAGCCTAGCCGGGGCTTCTGGTCTGGGAGCATGTGGCTGCCCCGGCGGCACCAGAACCTCAGGTAAGGGGGAAGGGAGGGAAGAAGGGCAGGGGAGGACCCCGGGCAGGGGAGGAGCCCAGTGAAAAGTGGCCTGGGAAAAAGCTGAGCGCAGGCGAGGGGAAAGCAGCCCCTCCACCAGCCTGTGGCTGGCACCCTGCACTGCAGCCGCTCACAGCCTGCATGGGGCTGCCTGTTCTGAACAGCCCTGCGTGGGCTGCGAGCAGCTGCAGCAGGGAGCGCCGGCCATGCGGTGGGGGAGGAAAGCATGCCGCTTTTCCTCCCACTCAGTTTTTCCATGGGCTCCTTCCCGGTGCTGAGGAAAGTGGCCCCTCCCCTGCCCTGTGACTGACACTCCCTGCTGCAGCTGCTCGCAGCCCACGCAGGGCTGTTTCAAGCAGGCACAGGCAGCCCCACACGGGCTGCAAGCAGCTGCAGCATGGGGCATCGGGCGTGGGGCATTGGGCATGGAGCAGGTGAGGGGCTGCTTCCCACCCCCCGCTCTCAGCACCACCTTGTAACCTGGCTCTGCAGCCAGCCTCAGCCCTCTGCCGGCTCCGGCCTTGCCCATCGGGGCTGCGCATGGCGAAAGCAGCTGTGGCCCCCCCGCTTGCTGCACTGGGTAGTGTTTGCCACTGTCACCTCTGGGCTGCCCAGCAAATGAGCTCTGGGCACACAGCAGCAGCCAACACTGTCCAGCACAGCATGTGGGGGGGGCCACAGCTGCTGCTGCTGATGGGTGAGCCCAGGAGCAGGCTTGAAGCCCAGGCTGGTAGCAGGGCCGGGCTACAAACTGGTGCTGAGTGTGAGGAAAAGTGGCCCCTCACTTGCCCCATGGCCAGCACTTTGTGCTGTAGCCACTTGCTGTGTGCATGGGGCTGCCTGTGTCCGCTCCAGACAGCCCCATGTGGCCTGCGAGCACCTGCAGCAGGGAGCGCTGGCCACGGGGCAGGTGAGGGGCCGCTTTTCCCTGCACTCAGCACCAGCTTCTTCCCTGCCAGCAAGCAGGGGGTCAGTGCTGTGTTCTGTCCCCTGCCTGTACCGTGGGGCTGGGGGGCACTGGGAGTGAGAGGGTGGGGAGCCAGCGGGAGCATGGGATGCACACCAGTGTCCCAGGGCCAGTGCCAGTGGGGCCCAGAGCAGGGTGGCAGGAGCGCAGGGTCCCAGCCAGCAGGGGCTCTATGGCGCCAGGCCAGCTCCCCCATCTCCCTGCTGGTGCAGCCCAGCCCAGCTCCACAGACCCCTGCCAGCCTGTGCCCCTCTTTGGACCCCACTGGTGCTGGTCCTGGGACACTGGTCTCAAGATATTGGCACATTGGTCCCAAGATGGTGACATGGGGGTGGGGCACCTGTCAAGGGGCGGGGCTACCATGTGGCCCTTGACATCCTGCCAAAACTGAGTAAGCGGCCCTCCACCCAAAATAATTGCCCGCCCCTGAGATAAGTAGATAAGCCCAGGCTCAGGCTTATCCCTACCTTGCCTCTCCCCAACCCACACTGCTCAGTCCCTCTGCAAGGAGGTAAGCATTGTAATAAATAAGTTAGTTTTTGAAACGGGGTGCCACTCAATTCATAAAAGCTATAGAGGTATGCCTTGACTTTAATGGGGATTCCTTGCATCTAAAAAGTTTGAGAACCAGTGCTTTAGGGCCTCTAAGTTTTGGTCCTGTCTTGCAACAAGTACACAACTATAGGGTAGGGTGTTCAGGAATTTAGATTTGTTTTTTAGGCTTACTTGTTTGTATAAGCGTAGTTCTAAGAATATATTTTTTTTAAATAGTCAAATACACACATTCTATTTGGATGTAAAGATGGAGTATCATTTTCAAAGGCTCTCTTAAAATGATTAGTGCATTTTTTAGTGTGTTATTTATCTGGAGGAGTAAATTAAATAGCTTTCCTGGAGCAGCAAGTAAGTAGTTTCAAGTGAAAGTAACATGAGCTTTCCGGATACAAAATCCTGAAAGGGATTTATGTGCAATACACTTTATGATGAAACAACTAGGATTCATACACAGTTACCAGTTTTATTCCTGCCTTGAAACTTCCAAACAAGGGCATTGGAAGCTAATTGATCAGACATACCCTCACTTTTTTCCACCCACATAGTCATATATGTTATCATTTCCACAACCTTAACTCTTTCTTTTTGAGGATGTCAGCTGTGTATCTCCTTCTTCTCCAAAATTCCTCTCAACTGTTCCTTCAGGTCAGTCCCATCATGATGATAGCCCCTCCCAATGCTCCCAGTAGTGGGTTTGATGTAGTAGATTTGGTGTATTATCAGGCCCTAGTTTGGTATACAGTAGTGTTTCTAAATGAACAGAGTTAAAGCGCATAAGCTATAGTGTATGGTATTTATGGCAGTAGTAATGCACATGGCTGTGTGTCTAAGAATAGGCTGTATTTGCTGGGATGTCTAACATTTTGTTACTTTCACTATTTTTCTTTGTGCTATGCCTTTAATGTTTTACAAGCTATTCTTTTTAACCCAGCTCCCCTTCTCACGGACTATTTCACCCAGCATCCTAGTAGTTAGGGCACTTTCACTAGAAATGGGACACCAAGGATCTAGTCCCATACTTAAAGCGAGTATGAAGCTATTTTCTTCCACTTTGCAGTACAGTTCCTTAACTAATGGTCTAAGAGCACCTTCCACCAATCCTCTTGAGCCTGGCTCAATGGGCAGTCAAGAGGACAAAAAAAGAATGGACTGTGGGCAACCTGCGCAAGGTCCTAGGCAGTACCTTGGAAAGAAGTTTCCCTGGGTTATGACCCCTGTTCCTGCCTGAAATGGTGGGGTTTCTTTTTAAATTTGCTTTCAATAGGCATTGGATAAAATGAATATACAGCAGTGAGATAGACTTCAGTGAGTATGAAGCTGTCTTGACTAATAAGGCAGAGGCATCCACTTGTCAGGGAATAATGCCCTCTCATTCCCTCTCCTCCTCCTTTAGGAGTTGTGACATTGAACAGGGTAGTGAGAGTATGAGGCTGAAAATGTACGTAGCGTTGTCAAACACAGGCATTAACAAAAATGAGTCAGCCTCTCCAAAGTCATGAGGTTTCAAATAATGTAACAGATCATGTTTTTGTCACCTGCCTTTGAGGAGATTTTTTTAGGTCCTTCGGAAAGCTCCAAAATTATGTATGAACATTTCAGACTGAAATGTATCTTTAAATGCAGAAACAAAATATGAGTTGTCTCTTTGTTCTTTGTGGAACATTTTATGGCTGGTCTGTATGGTAGCTTAAATTTAATGTTTGGTATATCCACATACTAGGGCTCTCTGGGGCTGTTGCCTAACAATCTGCTTATTGTTAGAATCAGGTCTGGATGGCCCTGGATATACAATATTGTTGGCACTGGCCCTCAGGGCACCACCAGTCTCCAAATGGCAGGGGAACTCCAGGGCAGGTGCCAACAATCAGCTGATTGTCAGCAAGATCCCCCAGGGCATGAATGGGTCTCCAACTGGACCCAGGGCTACCCTGTCAGGGAAAGGGGAGAAGGGAATCAGAGGGTCCCATCAGAGGCAGCTGCAGGGCTTCCCCTGCCAGGGACTTCAGACTCTATGGCACCTTGAACTGGATGTGTATCGGGGTAACAGACAGGAAATAGAAGTAGCATCGTCAAACACAGGCATTAACAAAAGTGATTCATCCTCCCTAAAATAATGGGAGCTAGTGCCAGCAGAGGAATGGATTGATAGGAAAGTTGGGTGGGGAGGAGGAGTTCATTACTGAAGCCTTGTGGTCCCACAACTTATGGGGGTGAGGGAGAATTATTGACATTGAAATTTGTCAAGACAAATATTCAGTTACTAGTGTCACATTTTCCTTGTGCATATAAAATAAAATAAAATAAAATAAAATAAAATAAAAGATGT